TCTCTTGGGTTCCAAAATCACTGTGGATGATGACTGCAGCCCTGAAATTAAAAGACGCTTGTTCCTTGGAAGGAAAGCTGACACACCTAGATAGCATATTAAAAAGCAGAGACATTACTTTGCCAAAAAAGGTCCATCTAGTCAAAGCTATGGTTTTTCTGGGAGTCATGTATGGATGTGAGAGTTGGACCATAAAGAAGACTGAGCATCGAAGAACTGATGGTTTCAAACTGTGGTGTTGGAGAAGACTCTTGAGAGTCCCTTGGACTGCAAGGAGATCCAACCAGTCCATCCTGAAGGAGATTGGTCCTGGGTGTTCATTGGAAGGACTGATGCTGAAGCTGAAACTCCAATACTTTGGCCACCTGATGTGAAGAGTTGACTCATTGGAAAAGATCCTGATGCTGGGAAAGATAGAGGGCAAGAGAAGAAGGGGGTAGCAAAGGATGAGATGCTTAGATGGCATCACTGACTCAAGAGACATGAGTTAAATGGGGGAGCAAACTCCCAGCAAACTCTGGGAGACAGTGAAGGACAGGGAAGCCTGGCATGCTGCAGTTCATGGGGTCACAAAAAAATGGACACGACTTAGCAAATGAACAACGATGTAAGTGAAGTCAGACAGAGAAAGACAAATACTGTGTGTTATCGCTTATTTGTGGCATCTGAAAAGTACAACAGACCAGTAAGTATAACAAAAAAGACGACTCACAGAGAGAACAAACTAGTGGTCACCAGAAGGGAGCGGGAGGGAGAGAGGGGCAGTAAGGGGCAGGGCACATGAGGTACAAAGTGTTACGTATGAAAACCATCTACACAGACGTACAGCGTGGGGAATACAGCCAGTATTTTATAAATTGCATATAACCTTTAAAATTGTGATTCACTGTTTTGTACACCTGTGACTTATACTAACATCAACTATACTATACTTCAGTTTTATTTGGTTTTGGCCTTGTGTCTTTTAAGATCTTACTTCCCCAAACGGACTGAACCCACGCCTTTGGCTGTGACAGCATCGGGTCCTAACCGCTGGACAGTCAGGGAACTCCCCCATTTAACCGTCTTATGGTGCAAAATATGGTGGGTTTTAGCACACTCACTATGTTGTGCAACATCACCGTAACCGAGGTTCCAGCATTTTCCTGTGACCCCAAACAGATCCCGGTACCCGTGAAGCTGTCTCTTCCTCCTCCCCACAGCGCCCCAGCCCCAGACAACCACTTCCTGTCCCGCGGCTTTGCTCCCTTCACCTCACATAGATGGACTCACACACGCCTTCTGCATCTGCCTTCTTTCTGCTGGCTTGTTTACAAGGTCCACCCATGTTGAAGCATATGTCGGTACTTCAGTCCTTTTCGTGACTGAATAATATCCCACTGAATGAATATATGCATTTTGTTTATCCATTCACAGTCAATATTTTTTTTTGACAGAGACGTCAAAGAAATTTCATAAGGGAAATGACTGTCTTTCAACAAACGGTGCTACAATAGCTGAATATCCCAAATCTAAAAAAAACAAAACTGAACCTCAATCCTTATCTCACTTAACACACAAATAACTAGATCACAGACCTGAATATAAAATTAGAGACTCGCCCAGTTTTAAAGGAAACACAGGAGAAAAATCTTTGCACCTTTGGGGAAGAGAGATTTCTTGGCCGGCACACAAAAAAGTACTAGACAAAAGAAAACAGCTGAGAAGCTGAAATTCATCAAAATGCAAGCTTCTGCTCTTCAAAAGATACCTTTGAGAAAAGCCCACCACAGACAGGAATATTCACAACACATCTATCTGACGAAGGGACTGAATCCAGACTATACACCAACTCAACAAGAAAAGAGCCCTCACCTTTTAAAATTTTTAAACAGACAAAAGATCCAAGTAGACTCTTCAGAAAAGAAATGAATGGCCAGTAGCCCATGGAAAGACTCTCACAGGGAAATGCAAATCAAGATGTCAAGGAGACATACCTCCGCTGGAATGGCTAACATTGAAAACCCTTAAGAGACAAGAGATGGCTCCCATAGATGGACCCCCTCTTTGTCCACTAGAACCTGTGAGTACGACCGCTGATGTGGCCAAGGGGCCTCTGCAGATGCGATTAAACTCAAGGACCCAGGAATGGGGAGAGTCTCCCAGACAACCTGGCGCCTCCATTTTCCACGGTCCTTAAAGCTGGAGAACCTCCCACGCTGCGGTCAGAGGCACACGGGATGGGGAGGCAGCGCCCAAGGATGGAGGGAGGCCCGGAGCCAAGGGCGGCACGGCCTCGACAGGCTGGACGAGGCCCGGGAGTGCTTCAGCCCAGGGCCTCCAGGAGCAGAGGCTCTGCTGACAGCCTGAGCTTACACCCTGCTGGACTTGAGACCTACAAAACCCTCAGGTCTGGACTCTGTTGCATTAAGGCCCCAAGCCCGTGGTGATGTTGAGAGCAGCGACAGGAAATGCAGACAGTAACGGGAGCGGCCGGGCTGAGGCTGGGGGGCCAGCAGGACCCCCACCCTGCGCACTGCAGGCCGAACGGCAGGGTCACCTTGGAGGCCTGCCCGGTGGCTTCTAAGGACGCTGTGTGTCCACTCTGTGGACACGCCAGCCCGAGCCCATGCCCAGGGGAACTGAGCACCAAGGTCCACAGAGACGGCCACTCGCAGCCCCCTCGAGCGAGGACACCCCACGCCCCGGCAGCAGAGCCAAGCCCGGCACCCCCAGGCCTCAGTCCAGGACCTGCTGCTTCTGCAGAGCTGCCCGCCGGCCAGCTCCCCAGTTCCCAGCGCTGCACCTCCATCTGGGGCAACTCCTGTCCAGTCCTCCTTCCAGAGATGGCAGACCTGCCTTACCATCTGAAGACTTTCCCTGCCCGCCACCCCGCCCTCCATAGGTCTCACACCTGTAACTGTCTGGGCATCTATCAAAAACCCAAATGTTCATCACACTGCTCAGCAGTAAAAATGAGCGAGCTACGGATACGCACAACGTGGGTGACTCTCAACACCACGAGGGAAAACCAGACACAAAAGAATATATACTGTGAGGCTCATGTATTAAGTCCTGAAACAAATAAAACGAGGTAGTCTCGGATGTCCCTGGCGGTGCAGTGGATGCGAACCTGCCTGCCAGTGCCGGGGACATAGTTCAATCCCTGGTCTGGGAAGAGCCCACACCTTCCTCAGAGCAACTAAGCCCCCGGGTGCCACACTACTGAGCCCACGCGCCTGGAGCCCGGGCCCCGCGATGAGAAGTCTCCCGCTCACCTCAAGAAAAACCCGTGCAAAGCAGTGAAGCCTCAGTGCAGCCAAAAATGAATACACAAATAATCAGTCTATGGTGAAAGAACTGCCGACAGTGGGAATCCCCTGGTGGTCCGGTGGTTAGGCTTCAGTGCTTTCCCTGCTGAGGGCCAGGGTTTGACCCCTGGTCGGGGAACTAAGATCCCACAGGCCATGCAGTGCAGCCACATACACACACAAAAAAGGAAGAACTGCTCATAGTGGTTGCCTCTGCTGGGAGTGGGAACTGACTGGAAAGCAGTCCTGGGGGACTTCCTGGAGTAGGAGAGATGTTTTGTCTTCACTGGGGAGCAGTGACACAGGTCCTTCACATCTATCAGAGCTCATTCCTCCGTGCACTAAAGACCTGTGCATTATGGGTAAATTATCCCTCAATAAAGTTAGTTTTTTAAAACAACAACACAAATTCAAACACAGAATTGCCAAACCACCACCATGCTCCTCAGTTCCACCTTGCGCTTTCTTTTTTCCCACTGCACTCATCTTCTAACAAACCATGTTATTGAGTTTCCTGTTCATTCTATCTCCTCCTGCTGGAATATCATCTCTACATGACTGGAGGTCTTTGTCCTTATGGCTCCCTGACACCCCAAGCACTCAGAAGAGTCCGTGGGTCCTAGCAGGAACCTGATACATATTTGTTGAGTGAATGAAAGAACATCATCGATTTGTTTCCTGATGCATTTCCCAATCTACACTTCATTTGATTCTCGTAACCGTGTAAGGCAGATATTTTGCCTTACCCTAGAAATACGGAACTGGGAACAATACTTGATCAGAATGATTGATGAGAGAGCCGGGCTAAAACACTGGGTCTGACTTCCAGGGACTGAGCCCAATCGAATGGAGTCTTCACATTTGTTCCTCGAGAGGACAGGAGAGCATTGCGAAAGTACGTATGATCCAGAAAGGTCACACACACACACACGGTTCAAGAGAACGTGGCCAGTGCTGCAGGACACACACCAGTTATCGTCTAAGGTGCAGGGAAGGCTTCCTGGGGGAGCTGGTGCCCAAGCTGAGTCTCAAAGGATTTACTTTTTAATTTGGCAAAGAAAAGTAGCAAGGGGATTTCCAGCCGAGGGTCTGACTGAGCAGAGGCGTCAGAGCGCAGTGCGGCAGGGGAGTCTGCCAAGACTGGCCCGGACGATGTGAGGCCTGCAGGAGACGTGGGGCGACAGGAGTGAGTCTGGCGGGAGTTAAGGCGGGGGGCGTGGAGAGATCTTGGGGGCCGCTGGGCACCAGGTGCAGAAGCCAAGGTTTGCAGCGCCCCCCTCACGGCCGCACAGGAGGAACGCGGGGGGACGGCAGAGGGCTCCGTGCTCACTGCGGAGCCCAGAACCAAGGTCACCTCTGGAGCCGACTGAGACCCACTGTAACCGTTCCCAAAAGCCCCCCGGTCAGCACCAAGCAGGCTTCTTGGCCCCAAGCTCGGCAAAAACACCCAATCCAGCGCTCACCCTCGAGGGCCCTAATCAATCACCCGACGCCACCCTTCCAGCAGGAACTTTCTCTTCAGATGACAAAAACTGGCTGCTGACCCCCAAAAAGCGTGGGCTCTCCCTGGTCTGTCAGGAGGTGTTGGCCCGCTGTGTTTGCAGTGTCTTCATTATCTCTGCTCTTTGCTCTTAATAAACTCACTCCCTTCTGAAATGCTCGTGTCAGGAAATTCTCTTCCAGCCCGCGCCAGACAGCAGGGACACTCACCCAGATAGAACCGCAGGAAAGGGGTCGGCGTCATGTTCTTAAACAGCACGACCTGCACCCAGGGGTTCTTGTGCTGGATCTGAGGCACGTTGAAAAACACGAATTTCCTGCAACACAAGAAATTAAACCCATGAGTTTCTAACCTAAAACTTTAGGTACCTGTATATTCTTCTAAAGAGAAGTCCAGAACTCTCATCAGATTCTGAGAGGACTCAGCCCCCCAAAAAGGTGGAGTGAGGAAAAGCAGGTCACAGGAGTCCATTAACGTGCTGTCTGAATGTAGGTGTTGGGACACCTGATTTGTCATTTAAGGAAAAGAAATCTATATCCTTACTTCACATTGCACATTAACCTAAAACTCACCAAAGCAGAAGTGTAAATACAAAAATGAAATGTCCTTGGTCTTGCTTGGTGTGACAGGTACACAGTGTACTCAACTGAGAATCTGTATATCTCCAGGTGAGCACTTTATGTTTTTATCATCGTCATGAAAGTTGGTCAGTCATGTCCGACTCTTTGCAAACCCATGGACTATACAGTCCATGGAATTCTCCAGGCCAGAATACTGGAGTGGGTAGCTTTTCCCTTCTCCAGGGGATTGTCCCAACTCAGGGATCGAACCCAGGTCTCCCGCATTGCAGGCAGATTCTTTACCAGCTGAGCCACAAGGGAAGCCCAAGAATGCTGGAGTGGGTGGCCTATCCTTTCTCCAGGGGATCTTCCTGACCCAGGAATCGAACCGGGGTCTCCTGCATTGCAGGTGGATTCTTTACCAACTGAGCTATCAGGGAAGTCCTTATGTTTTTATACCAATATTTAAAAATAAGAGGAACCATAAGAACAATCATGGGGAATACTCTTACAATCTAGGAGTGGATAAATCACTGAACTCAGAAGGTTTAAAACATAGACCAATTTGATTAATTAAAACTCTTGCAGGATTTCCCTGGTGGTCTGCCATCACAGCCTTGTGGTGGTGAAGGAGCTTGCATAACTCAAGCTATGCTATTCAGGGCCACCCAAGACAGACGGGTCACAGAGAAGAGTTCTGACAAAACGTGGTCCACTGGAGGAGGGAATGGTAAACCACTCCAGTATTCTTGTCACATGAAGCCTATCAACAGTATGAAAAGGCAAAAAAATGCAACACCAGAAGATGAGCCCCCCAGATCGGAAGGTGTCCATTATGCTACTGGGGAAGAGCGGAGGACAGTTACTAATAGCTCCAGAGGGAAGGAAGCCTCTGGGCCAAAGTGGAAACGATGCTCAGCTGCGGATTTGTCTGGTGATGAAAGTAAAGTCTGATGCTGTAAAGAACAATACTGCACAAGAGCCAGGAATGTTAGGTCCATGAATCAAGGCAAAATCGAAGTGGTCAGACAGTAGGTGTTACGAGTGAACATCGACACCTTAGGAATCAGTGAACTAAAATGGACAGGAATGGGTGAATTTAATTCAGATGATCATTATATCTACTACTGTGGGCAAGGATCCCTTAGAAGAAATGGAGTAGCTCTCACAGTCAGCAAGAGTCTGAAATGCAGTACTTGGGTGCAATCTCAAAAAGGACAGAATGATCTCAGTTTGTTTTCAAGGCAAACCATTCAACATCACAGCAAACTAAGTCTATGCCCCAACCACTGATGCCAAAGAAGCCAAAGTTGACCTGTTCTATAAAGACCTACAAGACCTTCTAGAACTAACACCAAAAAGAGATGCCCTTTTCATCATAGGGGATTCGAATGTAGATCTAGGAAGTCAAGAGATACCTGGAGTAACAGGCAAGTTTGGCCTTAGAGTACAAAATGAAGCAGGGTAAAGACTAAAAGTTCTGTCAAGAGAACGCACTGGTCATAGTAAACATTCTTTTCCAACAACACAAGAGATGACTCTACACATGGACCTCACCCAATGGTCACAGAAATCAGACTGATTATATTCTTTGCAGCCAAAGATTGAGAAGCTCTATAAAGTCAGCAAAAGCAAGACCAGGAGCTGACTGTGGCTAAGATCATGAACTCCTTATTGCTAAATTCAGGCTTAAACTGAAGAAAGTAGGAGAAACCACTAGACCATTCAGGTATGACCTAAATCAAATCCCCTATGATTATATGGTGAAGGTGATAAATAGATTCAAGGAAGTAGATCTGGTAGACAGAGTGCCTGAAGAACTATGGATGGAGGTTTGTAACACTGTACAGGAAGCAGTGACCAAAACCATCCCAAAGAAAAAGAAATGCAAGAAAGGAAAGTGGTTGTAGGGGAGGCTTTACAAAGAGATGAGGAGAGAAGAGAGGAGAAAGGGAAAGATACACCCAACTGAATGCAGAGTTCCAGAGAATAGCAAGGAGAGAGAAGAAGGCCTCCTTCAAAGAACAGAAGATAACAACAGAATGGGAAAGACTAGAGATCTCTTCAAGAATACTGGAGATATTAAGGAAACACTTCATGCAAGGATGGGCACAACAGAAGATAGAAATGGTAAAGACCTAACAGAGACAGAAGAGATTAAGAAGAGGTGGCAAGAATACACAGAACTATACAAAAGAAGTCTTAATGACCCAGATAACCACTATGGTGTGATCACGCACCTAGAACCAGACATCCTGGAATTCGAAGTAAATTGGGCCTTAGGAAGCATTACCACAAACAAAGCTAGTGGAGCCAGCTGAGCTATTACAAATCCTGAAAGATGATGCTGTTAAAGTGCTACACTCAATATGTCAGCAAATTTGGAAAACTCAGAAGTGGCCACAGGATGGGAAAAGGTCAGTTTTCATTCCAATCTCAAAGGACAATGCAAAATAATGTTCAAATTACCATACAATCACACTTATTTCACACGCTAGCAAGGTAATGGTTCAAAATCCTTCAAGCAAGGCTTCAGCAGTACGTGAACAGAGAAATTTCAGATGTATAAGCTGGGTTGAAAACAGGCAGAGGAACCAAAGATTAAATTGGCAACATCCATCAGATCACAGAAAAAGCAGGGCATTTCAGAAAACCATCTGTTTCTACTTCACTGACTACATTACAGCCTTTAACTGCATGTATCACAACAAACTGTGGGAAACTCTTAAAAGAGATGGGAATACCAGACCACCTTACCTGTCTTGAGAAACCTGTATGTGGGTCAAGAAGCAACAGTTAGAAGTGGATATTGAACAACTGACTGGTTTCAAATTGGGAAAGGAGTATGACTAGGCTGTATGCTCTCACCCTCTTATTTAACTTATACACAGAGCATATCAAGCGAAACGCCAGGCTGGGTGAAGCACAAGCTAGAATCAAGATTGTGGGGAGAAATACCAACAACCGGGAAGAAGAATTAAAGAGCCTCTTGATGAGGGTGAAAGAGAGCTAAAAAGCTGGCTTAACACTCAACATTAAAAAAACTAAGATTGTGGCATCTAGTCACATCACTCTATGGCAAATAGAAAGAGAAAAAGTGGAAGCAATGACAGGTTTTATTTTCGGGCTCCAAAACCACTGCAGATGGTGACTGCCACCATGAAATTAAAAGACACTTGCTCCTTGGAAGAAAAGCTATGACAAACCTAGACAGTGTATTGAAAAGCAGAGATATCACTTTGCTAACAAAGGTTTATATAGTCAAAACTATGGTTTTTCCAGTAGTCCTGTACTAATGTAAGAGCTGGACCATAAAGAAGGCTGAGTGCCAATAAATTGATGTTTTCGAATTGTGGTGCTGGGGGAGACTCTTGAGAGTCCCTCGGACAGCAAGGAGATCAAACCAGTCTTAAATCCTAAAAGAAATCAACCCAAAATATTCACTGGAAAGACTGATGCTGAAGCTCCAATTCTTTGGCCACCCGATACAAAGAGCTGACTCGTTGGAAAAGACCGTGATGCTGGGAAAGATTGAGGGAATGAGGAGAAGGGGAGGGCAGAGGGTGAGACAGTTACACAGCATCACTGACTCAACAGACACGAATAGGAGCAAACTCCAGGAAATAGTGGACGACAGGGAAGCCTGGAGTGCTGCAGTTCATGGGGTCACAAAGAGTCAGACACGACTTAGCAACTGAACAACAACTGGCAGCAGGGGTTAAGAGTCCACTTGCCAACGCAGGGGATACGGGTTCAATGCCTGGAAGGAACTAAGAACCCACATGCCATGGGGCATTTAAGCCCGTGTGCCCAGTTATTTAGCCTGGGAGCTGCAACTACTGAAGCCTGCATGCTCTAGAGCCCATGTTCTATAATGAGAGAAGGCCCTGCTTGCTGCAACTAGAGGAAGCTGGCTTGCAGCAATGAAGAGCCGTGTGCCACAATGAGGACTCAGGGCAGCCATAGATAAACAGATAAATAAATACAGCCCTTCGCAAGGCAAAACTTACCCAAAACAAAATCAATATCTGCCAAGCACAAAACACAAAACAAAAGGTTAATTCCCTTACACAGAATTCTGCACGCCGTTAACAAGATTCATAATCCAGTAGGGCAGGCAAAGGCTACAAAAAGGCAGAAACCCACATGGTCTATCAGAGAAGGATCCCCAACATCTTCCCAACAACTATACATGAAAATCATCCTTTTTCATCTCTTAGAGTGCTTAAAAAGTGAAAGTGTTAATTGCTCAGTCATGTCAGACTCTTTGCAACCCCATGGATTACAGCACTCCAGGCTCCTCTGTCCATGGAATTCTCCAGGCAAGAACACTGGAGTGTACTGCCCAGAATCCTGGGCAGCCGTTCCCTTCTCATTATAAGCAGTTAATTTATAGAAGTGAGGGGGGCTTCCCCGGCGGCTCAGACAGTAAGGTATCTGCCTGCAATGAAGAGACCGGGGTTTGATTCCTGTGTTGGAAAGATCGCTTGAAGAAAGGAATGGCGACCCACTCCAGTATTCTTGCCTGGAGAATTCCATGAACAGAGGAGCCTGGTGAACTACAGTCCATGAGGTCGCAGAGTCAGCCATAGCTGAGCAACTAACGTTTTCACACTTACAGAAGTGAGGAAACCTTTCCTTATGTATATTCATTGGTTTGACGTCCTTGGGGGTCATTTTGGAACTAGCACAGATCTTGACTCAATGATTTCACCTCTGCCTTTAGGCATTTTCACACTTGAATGCAAAGACACCCGTGAACTTTACTGATCATTTTTCACAGCAAAGGGACAGAAACAGCTTAAACGTCAGACTGACTGTACAAATTATGACACAACTGCACACCAGGATCCCTCTCTACCTGCTCTCCATCCTGAGCGCTAACAGATATGCCCTAGGGAGTGGGTTTTCTTCCCCAGTGGCTTCATGTTGGGTTCAGCCCACAGCGAGCACTGTCACAACAACAGAGTCAGGGAGAGTCAAGGAAGTTATCTGTCTGGCTCGACCCCGGGCTCAGTCCCAGCTCCACAGGCTCCTGTCAGGCAGCCCTCTTCACCCCCAGGGCCCAACCACCATCCTCCTCCTCACTTCTGCAGCCCCGAGCCGGGGTCTTGCACTGTTCCCAAGACCTGCGGCCCTCTGCTGCGGTCCTGCGAAGCCTGCACCTGGACGTACCTCTTGGGGAGCTACAAAATACAAAGAAACTATATGGGACTAAAAATAACTCCGTGTGCATGCGCAGTTGGGGCAAGTTCTGAACCAAAAGATACAAAGTTTACAAATCCCAACGGCCACTTCTGAAGAGCCGGGAGCAAAACCTGGGTGTCGGGAGCAAAAACAGGGTACTGCGCATGCCCCACTGCACTCACCACCACAAAGAGGTGGGCAAAACACCTCAGCCCCACCCCTAGCCTGGCCCCTGGACACACCCCTACCCGCACCCCATATAAGGGACCGGCTCCAGGGCCTGCTCCCCTGCGGAGCCGGTGCGAGAACTCCAGCGAGGCGACGCCTGAGTCTCCGGTCCATCCGTTTCCAGTGACTGGGAAGGCCAGGAACCCGACCAGCGATGGCACCCAACCTGGGCCAGTCCCCTGCCAGGGCGAGGACCTGGGAACGTCCGAGACCACAGGGCGAAGCTTCTGCATGGCTGACCAACGCCTACCTGAACCGCGTGCTTTACCATCACCGCCGGTTGTAAGTCTGCCTTCCTGGCCCCTGGGGGCCTCGGGACCCTGGTTCGGGCAGTGCTTCCCTCCCCCCGTGCCCTTTTCCCTCTCCTCAAATGTCTGTCCTCTCCTTCTGAGAGAGAGTGGTGCGTGCCAGAGGCTGTAGTGGCTGGAACTTCTATGGTCCCAGCATTCTCTTCACTTTCCTGCTGTCTTCTCTTTTTCCAGGCTTTTCTGTGCCTCCTCCCTATAACTCCCCTTCAGTCCTTATAACTGTGCTCCTGTTCCCTCTGTCTTTCAGGTTTTGTCACTGGGGTCTTTCTTTTATGTACTTTTGTCTGTCCGGTTGCTCCTGCAAGTTTCTGCCAAAACTGTGGGCAGGGTGGAGCATTTAAATTTTGAAACACGAATGCAGCCCACATTGCCCGAGACCCCAGCCTTGGTTACCTGGAGGAACTTTAAAGAACAGACTAGGGGGGCTTCGCTCGCTCACCCCCGCTTACCTCCCCCGCCCCCGCAGTGTAACCATTCTGCCCGGGCGCTGGGAGCCTGCAGCTGTCCTCGGCTGTTGCAATGTAACCATTTTGCCTGAACTCGGGAACAGCCCCTTCATCTGCAGCGCCCCAGACTGGGGGCGGGGGCGGGGGCTGGGGCGCCGAGGGGAAGGAAGCCATTTTAAATTCAAGCCGGAAAACTAGGAAATCTCTGGTCCTATAGAAATTGGCTTGTCTGACCTTAAGCCTGTGGGTTTACCTCATACAGATCTGTCTTGAGAGTCATCAACGATAAGTATAATACTTTCACTGGTACCTAAGGTTACTGAAGGTCAGTTAAGTACACATTGTGTTTTTGTTATGAAACTTGCCAACAGGTGTAATAATCTGATATGATTAAATTTTTAAATAAATGGGATGATCACTTGTTGGTTAACTCTAGGGGAATGACTATGTTTTAGAAACATCCATCTAAAACACTATACAGGACCTCCATGCTGCTCCAGGGCTTAAGAAACCGTCTTGCAACGCGCAGGACCAGAGTTCGACTCCTGGAGAAGGAAGTAAGGCTCAACATGCCACGCCAAGACTAAGCCTGCGCTGCAACTACTGAGGCCGAGGACCACAACTAGAGAGTCCGCAACGAAGAATCCCGCACCATGCAGTGAAGATCCCCTGTGGTGCCAGTGGATCCTGCCGCAGCTGAATATATAAATAAATATTTAAAAGCAGAAAAAAGTCTCTGTACGTCTTGGTACTCAAAACTAAATTACCTTAAATGATAGGAATTCACTGAATATCCAGGCCATTTCAAATATGATGGATAAAATGTTGGGAATATGAATTGCTAAGTAAGTCTCAATTTGCCTGCTTTTGAGAGAGAAGCTGACACTTGTTTGGGGCTGCTTTGAGACGTTCTCTACCAATCAATAGAATGCCAATGTGAGAGGTTTGTAAGATGTATGTTTTTGGGAAAGGAGGTATGAGGAACACTTTGTTAAAGGAAAAAGGGTGATTTTTCTCCTAAGGCTGATTATTTCTAAATTGAAGAATAAGGGACAAAGTCTTGCTACAGAAAGGGACAGGTTTGCAGAAGTAGAACATTGAGAAGACTTTTGTATGGGGTTTGGATTTTCTCAAGTGGAATTAAACCTTACTAGGTATGTGGATTTTACTAAGACGGGCTAGAGAAGGGCTAGATTTGGCCTTTGGTAAGACAATGGTGTTCTCCAGGAACGTGGCTTCTGGTAACAGATGGTGAGTTTCTGTGCCTTTAAGTGATCTGTACTTAGTTAACTTAGTTTTGAAACTTTTTTTTCCGCCTTAGCTTAAGGAATAATTGCTTCACAGTGACCAATGATTCTATCTAACTGGGTTTTTGAAATTTTTGACAGACTTCCCAAACATCAAATTCTAATTAAAGTTCTCCTGACCTCCAGCTAACCTTGGGGGTGTTTCAAAGGGCCCCTGGAGTATCCCAAACAGACCCTAACTTAACTGGCAGGTTAAATTACATGGGTGATGCTGTCCAAACCCGCTGTTGCCTGTGTCAGATAGAGGTTGTCTCCAATGTTATCGCAGTCACTAAACATATAGGGGATAGGGTTTCAGGTTTTTCTGCTGTCTAGTCTCTCACCTTATTTCTATGTCCAACAAATCCCTTTGGGAGCACTCCCACCTCCAGCCCTCAGTTCCCGACCCCGGGGGGTTCCCCACTGTGCCCAGCTCGGTTCCTGACCCCGGGGCGTTCCCCACTGTGCCCAGCTTGCTTTCCGACCCCTGGAGCGTTCCCCACTGTGCCCAGCTCCGCTTCCTGACCCCGGGGCTTTCCCCACTGTGCCCAGCTCGGTTCCGAGCCCTGGAGCGTTCCCCACTGTGCCCAGCTCGGTTCCCGACCCCTGGGGCGTTCCCCACTGTGCCCAGCTCTGTTTCCTGACCCCGGGGCATTCTCCACTATGCCCAGCTCTGTTCCTGACCCTGGGGCATTCCCCACTGTGCCCAGCTCCACTTCCTGACCCCAGGGCCTTCCCCACTGTGCCCAGCTTGGTTCCGACCCCAGGGCATTCCCCACTGCGCCCAGCTGTATTCCTGACCCCAGGGCGTTTCCCACTGCGCCCAGCTCAGTTCCCGACCCCGGGGTGTTCCCCACTGTGCCCAGCTCCTCTTCCTGACCCCGGGGCGTTCCCCACTGTGCCCAGCTCGGTTCCCAACCCCGGGGTGTTCCCCACTGTGCCCAGCTCCTCTTCCTGACCCCGGGGCGTTCCCCACTGTGCCCAGCTCGGTTCCCAACCCCGGGGTGTTCCCCACTGTGCCCAGCTCTGTTCCCGACCCCGGGGCGTTCCCCACTGTGCCCAGCTTGGTTCCTCCAGGAGTTCCTTTCTCCATCTCTAATCTCCCGTTTCCTCCAGACTTCGGCAGCCCGTACCTTGTTACAGACTATTCGGCTGGCCACGTCCAAGCAGCCCATATCCTGGGATTTATAGATGCCCACTCTTGAGGAATACACCCCAAAATCCAACATAGAGAAAACTGCTCTAGGACAACAAGTTCATAGACAACAGATGCCCCCCTCAGGGAGAGTCCTGGCAACGCACTGGCACTGGTTCAAACATCCCCCATGGGGAACCCCTGGTGCAAGGGGCGGAGGTGGCCAGAGTAGGGGACGCTCAAAACCCCATTAGGTGAGGAGGGCACGCCAACCCCACTCTGACAAAAGTCTCCTGGGAAAATGTCTCTGGGAAGCTGGGTTTCATTTCTAGGAGTGCTCTTGGATGCAGATGACTCAACATGGGAGGATCCTCTTCTGAGCCAGAAGAGACACCTCTGGAATGTATCCTTAAAAATAGAAGTGTTAAAAATAGATGGGCTGAAAGTGGGGGGTGGGGGGACTTTACTATAACACTGCCTGGCCTTTATATAGGTTGGGAGATGGATAAAAATGTCCTGAAAATCCATCTCTAAGTTACAATATCATCTTGCAACTGGAAATCTTTACTGTCGCAATATAGGAAAAGAGACAGTTCTGTATGTCCAGGTCTTTGTGGTCCTTTACCAAAACCCCACTCACTCAAGGCAGTTTCTGGGCATTCGAAGGCACACCTGACATTTCAGGTCATCTCCTAACATCCCCCAACTCTCAGGGGGAGACCAAGGTTCCCCTGCTTCTCTAGACCCTCCTACTTCCCCGGAGGCACCTACTTCCCCAGATCCCTCTGACCAATCCCACACCCCAGCAACTCGCAGTGGAACTTCCTACCATCCAAGATCGGGCAAAGTGTGCCCTCCGAGGGAAGTGGCAAATGGCAGGGAGACAATCAAAGACACGAGCCCTTCTCTTTAATCGATGTAGTTAGCCCAAGGCAGACTGAGCCAGTTTTCTCAAGACCCTAGTAAGTTTGTTGAAGGGTTTCAGGCCCTAACACTGGCCTTTGATTTTACTTGGAAGGATGTCCAAATAGTCTTCTCTACTTGCTGTACCTGCGAGGAAAGAGAATTTGGGCAGCAATCCAGCGACATGGTGACCAGCCTGCCAATTCGTGTTTGTGTTGCTCCAAAACAGGAGCCCAGCGGGAGTCACAGTTACTGGGAGGGAACAGAAGCCAGGGTAGCGTGATGCAGTGTGCATCAGGAGGGACGGGAAAGTGCACCCACAAGTCAGTGAACTACGAGAAGGTCAAAGAAGTGACCCAAAAGAGAGAACGAGAAAGTCCAGCCTTCTTTCAGGGACAGCATGTGGAGGCTTTTAGAAAATCTACTGACATTGATCCACCCACTCCTGACGGTCAGACCTTGCTGGAACATTCTGTCAGCCCTAACATTAGGCGGAAACTCCAGAAGTTACAAATCGGCCCACAGACCCCAGTGCCGCAACTCCTAGAGGTGGCCTTTGGGGTATTCAGTAATCCAGACCAAACTGAGGATGAAGAACCTGATGTGAAAACAGGCCAGGGCTCAAGCTAAACTGAGGGCCACGCCTGGCAACCTCAGGACAACCCAAGGTGGGAAAGGAAGCTTAAGCATCCACCTAGAGGTAAAACCAGCAAGGGGGATGCTTCAAATGTAAGTCAACCAGCCAGTGGGCTCCAGAGTGCCAGGAAGAACTCCCTGGTCCGTGCCCAGTCTGCAGACAAACAGGTCACTGGAAGTGGGACTGTCCCCAGTCCCAAAGGGAAGAGGGGCTCCCACTCCTGAGACAACCATGCTGGACAACTGAGGAGCCCCGGGATGCTGGTGGCTCCCCTCCAACAAGACGTCTGTCTCCCTCAAGGAGCCTCAGGTGGCCCTTGGCATGGTAGGCAAGAAAATCAATTTTTAACTGATATGGGAGTCAGTCACTCTGTCCTGATTTCTCAGGCTGGGCCTCTTCTCTCCGAAAGCTGTGCGTTGATGGTGTCGAGGGAAAGCCTCACACGCGTTTCTTCGCTGGGCCTCTCACTCGTCAATCTGAATAGCGTCCGATCTCACACGCCGTTTTAGCTGTGCCCGAGTGTCCCAAACCCCACTTCTGGGTTCTCTTGGAGTCTTATTAGTTATCAGGCCCTGAGGGCCCCTTTTCTTGACTCAGGACTAATCAGCTGGAAGAACAAGGGTTGACTGCCAGCCATATTCCACACACAGCAAACCCTGCAGTTTGAGACAAGGGAATCCCTGTCAGTTCAGTTGCTCAGTCGTGTCCAACTCTGCGACCCTGTGGACTAAGAATCCCTGGGAGAGCTATAAATGCCCAACCTTTAAAAATAAGCCTTAAGCCAGAGTCGCTTATCCTAACAAAAGATAGTATACCCTATAAAGTTGGAGGCAAAAAAAGTTTGCAGCCCTTCACAGAGAAATTCTTAAATTATGGCCTCTTAGCGCCCTGTCAGTCTCCACGCAATGCCCCTATTCTGTCAGTTATTAAGCTAAATGGGGACTATTGAATAGCTCAAGGCCTTAGGGCAGTAAACGAGGCAGGGGTCCCCACACATCCCCTGTGGCCAATCCGCAACAGCATGTCAGTCCAGAGTCCTGGAGATGCTGTGCGTGACCCCAGCGATGGCTTCGTTTGTGTCATCTCATCTGTCTGCCTTCAAGTGGACTAAGCCCGAGTCAGGCCAAATGTAACAATACACCTGGACAGTACTGCCTCGGGAGTTTCAAGATCGCCCAGGTTGCTCACCCCGGCCCCAGGAAAAGAACTAAGGGAGACAGACTTAGAAGATGGAGCCCTGTGGGAACGCCTTGGTGACCCAGTGGTTGAGGACCCACCTGCCAACGCAGGGGACATGGGCTCCATCCTTGTCTGGGAAGGTTCCGCATGCTGTGCGGCAACTAAGCCCAAGGCCCACAGCTAGAGAAGCCACTGGAATGCAACCAGAGAGTAGCCCCTGCTTGCTGCGACTAGAGAAGAGTCCACACCCAGCAGCGGAGACCCAACGCAGACAACAACAGAGACAGAAAGAGGGGCCTTTCCACAGTATGCAGGTGACGTGTTAATATACAGCCCTACCATGGAGGCCTCGGATCGGAATATCACTGCAGTCCTTAATTTCCTTGGGGTCCGAAGCTACAGGACCTCCTGGGGGCGGGGGGAGGGGAAAGGGAAGAAAAGCACAAATCTCAAAGCAACAAGTTAAATATCTGGGATATATTACAAACCCCGGGAGGAGACAGTTCTCTCCAGAGAGAAAACAAGCTATATGAGGCCTACGCATCCCAAAGACCAAAAAAAAAAAAAAAAGTATCTTTGTACTTTCTTAGGC